GGATTCAAGGGAATATATGTGGACTAATCCAACCAAAATGCGGACCATATAAATATTTATGGTTTTGGTTGATGAATCGACAAACTGGTCACATGTTTGTCCACACACATTACTGCTAAACCTCTTGGCCGATTAAGGGTTCACCACCTACTTATCCCTTAAGGTTTGGAAGACTGGATAATGCTAGAGAGTTTATATCGACGATTTTCGATAAAGTATTGCATGTCATTTTGGGTTTTTAATTGAACATCGCATTCCCATGTTCACCCCAAATAGCCTAACCTAGCGATCATAAAGCGCAATTTAAATGATTGCCCGAATTTTGGTAAACGTACCAAGTTTTCGGTCTTTGCCTAGGTCTATGCAATCTTGCACGCAACTATGTTGGTCCGTCTTGAGGCCCATTGCCACCCAACCTATATGACGTTACAGTTGGTTACTGGGTACGAACCTGACGACTTTCGTATATACGCATTTGGGTGCGCATTCCATGTGCCAAGTTGCGTCGCCGCAACGTACCACCATGGGTCCTCAAAGAAGGATGTGTATCTTTTGTCGATCATGATTCTCCTTCACACTAGCTCTCTTCGAGCCCTTGCACACGATCTCTTTACCGTTTATTTGTGGGTTGTCACTTTAATGAGACAGTCTTCCCGCCGTTAGGGGGAGATAAGAACGTCAACGTTCCTGTAGAACGGCGCGAATTTGCATGGACGTTGCCCACTATGTCTCATCTCAATCCCCATACCGCACAAGTGTGATAAGCAAGTGCGACGAATTCTAGATTTCAGAATGTTGCTCCTGACGCATTCCTCTGATCTAGCTAAAGTGATGAGATCATATACCAGTTGCAAACATGTCTGCAAGGATAGACGTACTTAACGGACGTCGAGTCAACATCCCTGGAGGGTGTGCCTCCCATGTTGGACGGTTGGATGCCCCTGTTGGATGGTCCGGTACACCGACGGATAGCCAATCAATATGTCTTAGCCTGGAGCACGACATATCATTCGGTTCGTAGGATTCACTTCCCTGGAAGAGGAAGACATGGCACAACAATGAATCTAAACTCGATCGCTGTCTCAAATCATTTCCATCTCATGAGATGAATCCGGATTACTCCCGAGACTTGAAGTTCTTGGTCCAGTATACTAGTTTGGATGAGAAAATGGGATTGAAATGAGATTATCATCGATGATGTTTTCACTTATATGGTAGCTACCGACATAAATGAAAAGTGACGATATCGAACCGTGTTCCGTTGATTAAGTGACAACGTAGAACTGATTGGACAACTAAACTTACAATCCATGTCAAATTCTTTACCAAAGTGTGTATTGGACCTGTCGTTCCTACACTGCCCAAGGTAACCCTGTTGAGTTACAAGTGGGAAAGGAAACGTTATGAGATGAATGAAATAGTGCGATATGATGCACGCCTTACAGCGCAAGGTTTCTCTCAAAACGTCATGTGATTGATAGTAGCATTATAAAATGAGGTTAGTATTTCTCCATGGGGATATAAATACGGAGATTTACGTGTAAGTTCCCGAAGAATTACATGGACTGGTTCAAATAGTTCCAAACCACGGAACACCCTCTTAACTCGTTTTGAGGCGTTCATTTATGGATTGAAAAATCCGACGGATGTGGTATACCCGTCTAAGTGATTGATCAATCAAGGATATGAATTATGCCATTGCATGTTAAACTATGAAGTCTTATTCCAAATTGCTAGAGTTACAGTTTATGTCGTTAACACGAATCTCACTAAGACTCTGGAAGAGCTTGAGAAACTGCCTCGCACTTGAAGATGGAATTTGAGATGAAGGATCTTGGGAAAACTCGTTTATGCCTTGACCAAAAGTTGAAGCATTGTTTTAACGGTATTTTGGTTTACCAGTTGAACTACACCCGGAATGTGTCACATTTGAGTATACCCATGATCGTCCATACGTTATATGCAAATGAGACTCTTGAAGAGTCTATGGAATTATTCCATATCTAAAAGTTCTACTTTGCGCTTCGTTGTACTTAGCTCATTGTATTTAGACAGGACATCTCCTTCGCTGTTGATCTTGGTAAAGATGCAGCATCGCGCCTACACGCAACCACTGAATTGGTATTAAAGACGTACCCTAAAGGTATTACGTAGGCAAATCCCAACGCATCTTGAGCGGATCTAACCCCCTGATCCTCGAAATGATGCTTGCCTTGTTTGTTATGCTGACGCTAGTTACTTATCAAACCCGCACAAAGCAAAATCCCCGAATCGTTATGTCTTTACCGTTAGGGATATCGCAATATCTTGGAGGTCCACGATATGACCCTAGTTGCGAAATCTTCGAATCGTTCCAAGACTTACCTTACTTCACTATGCCACAAGTGAGACATGGTTAGGAGTTCTTGTTGAGCATATTCAAAGTACTTGCTATATTTTCATCCATCGTTGAGTCCCAACGACGATCCATGAAGATTATGCCACATGTATCAACCCGACCAAGACATGATACATCAACGAAGTCAACACCAAGACATATTGCGTCTACATCTACATCAGCAAAGCATCAGGAGATTGAAGTCATGCAAACCGATCCCAGACAACCTTGCCGACCTCTACACGATGTCACTGCCGAAGTTAACCTTCCAGAAGCTTGTCCGAGGAATTGGTATGCCTAACTACTCATATGCAATGCTTGTAGTTCTCATTTGGAAGTTATGTCAAACTCAGGGGGAGTATCCAGAAGTATACTCACTTGATCTTAATGTACTCTTTTTCCCTACGATTAGGAGCATTTTCCCACTGGGTTTTTGCTACCTAACTAGGTTTTAACGAGGCACCCATCCTGGGCTGATCATACCTTTGAGAGCTCTTCTACATGCGTCCAAAAGACGTATAGTTTTGACTTAATATGACTTCTCACTTTTCTCCTTAGACTATGGGTTTTTCTCCCATCTTGGGTTTTACCATAGCGAGGTTTTGTGAGTTTTACTTTTTATGCATTCTTCCGTTGATTTGAGACTTGCATTTGCCCATTGTGCCGACGACTTCATCAACTGTACTTACTTCATCAATGAAGACTTAATACGCCATTTACTTGAGTATTTACACACTCAAGGGGGAGTGTTGCAGTCCTATTTAGAATAGGAATGTGATTGTGTAAATCCTAGGAAATATGGGAATGTATCTTATATTCCTATTAGGATTAGATTACCTATTAAATGTTGTAATCCTAAAGGGAAAGGTTTTATCCTTCTTACTACTATAAATAAAGGCACAATGGGGTGAGATAACACACACCCACAATTACACATCTCTCTATTCTTCTCTCTATTGCCGCACCCCCTCTCTCTCTAAGGCCTCCATAATGGTTCAGTAAATTATGCCTACAACAATAAGATAGATTATACAAAAACTAATTCCAAAATTATTAAAAAAAAATCAAATAAATACAAAATTTAACAAATTATAAAGTTGAGGGTGGAAATTGTAGGTCCCTTACCATTAGAGGAAAAAACTGACCAACTTCATACGTATAGATGAATAGTTGAAAATACGGCGCTAAATTTTTAGATTTTACACCTTCGGATTGGAGATAGCGTGTCTTTAGTTTTTACATTAATAATTAGGCTTCTTCATTTGATGGATTTACCGAATAACGTACAAATATGCAGCTTATATTCTGAAAATATAACATAATAAATGTCGGATAAACAAACCGTTCCAATTTCTCGATTGCAGCTTCCTTCTCTATCTGTCATTAATTAGTACCTTTCTCTATGTGCACGTTTTCGTTTTCCCACTTTGTACAAGTTGACAAATCTAAAACCTGAACTTGGTAATCACTTCACCATTGTCCCTTTTTCTATCCTCAAAAGAAGGCAATCTCTCTCTTTCCGTGTTCCTGCATTGCAAATTCCAATTGGATTAAAAATTATAATCGAATTTATTATTTAATTACCCTTTCCTAAGGCATGGTTAATCAAATAACAAATTGCAAGTTGCAAACTTGTTTTTTTTAGCCAACATGGAAGATATATATTTTCAAACCTTTGCGTTATCTTGTTTTCACCAATAATTTGATCTCACGACTACTCATAAAAAAGACGAAATTTGTTTATGCATATGGATTTAGTACGGATTCTTATTTTGTAAGATATGTGGTTACCAATGTGATCGTGTATCGGTAATGTTGTTGGACACATGTATAACCTTTAACATTATTAACCTTCGTTACATTAGGGTGCGTTTGGTACGTGGGACGGGACGGGACGGAACGGGACGAGGCGTTCCGTCCCGCGTTTGGTGCGCCAAAAATGGGTGGAACGGGCTGTTCCACGGGACAGATTTTGGGTGTTTTTGCGTCCCACCTCCACCCCCTAGAACGGGTTTGTTCCACGTCTGTGGAACACAATGTTTTACCATTTTAAGACAAATATACCCCATGTCTTTTTCAAAAATTACACCTTCGTTCCGTCCCGTCCCGTTCCGTTCCGTTCCGTCCCGTCCCGTCCCGTTCCGTCCCGTCTGCGTACCAAACACACCCTTAAGAATTTATATTCGAGTCGTTTATCAAACGACTATACAAGAAGCGACATTCAAATTAAGATACAAGGCCTACTATTCTTTTGTTTGTTTATTACTTTATTTGTACTTTCAGACCAATAAATAATTCAGACAGCTGAGTGAGTAAAAGTTCATAACTAACCGGACACTGACGAGTAACGAACTCGTCTAAAAGATGAAGATGGGAAACTACAAAATTGCTTGTGTCAGTTTTCTTCTTAATATTGGCTGAAATAATTATATAGTGTGTGGTCCAGATTGAACCTAAACTCCCAGATCTTCACAGAATCAACTTGTTTGGTGGACGAATATACGAGTTTCGTATGGGCCCCATTTTGTACGAGATGTGGTCAGTAATGTAATCGGATATATGTGACATTATGTCAATAATGTGGTCGGATGCATTTATAACTTGTTTGGTGGATGAGAAAGTGTGGGAAAAGGGAGGAAAATTATATTTTCTGGAATTAACTTTTAAATGTTCATAACTGCAGAAAATACGTCCATCCATCCACGAATACATTCTACTTCTTTCTGAATACTGAAATCCATATACAAAAATACTTTAATCGTTTTCTGACGAAAATAAATACGAGTAAAAAGAAAGATTGAACATATTTTGTGAATAAATAGAATTAGTGTAAAAGGCTGTGCTGGACGAGCAGATGAATGTCGGAACATGATGATCATGTATCCCAGAAAATGTCTTTGCGCGGTGAAAACGGGAAGCCTATACTTTGGACTCACCAATCGCCACATCTTTCAATGGACTCTCGGCTACTCCCTCCTTTAGAGGTTTCAGATCCTCTTCTGACAGATGACTGGGAAGGACCTTGGGTTGCTTCTCAGCCTCCACAGCCCAGCTGTATACGATCATGCCAAGAACAGCAAGAGCCATGCCGAGCAAGTTTTTGAATGTGAGCTGGGAATCAAAGAGTAACCATCCCAATGTCAGGACACATACTGTTTTCATGTGGCCCAAAACCTGGAAAGAGACAGCTGAGAAGCGGCCGATGCAGAGGTACTGGCTGATGTTGCAAAACACTGCTAGGGAGCATGAGAGTAGGATGAAAAACTGCATACATTGGGATGACACATAGCACAGCAGCTTCATTAGAAATTGTTCGTCGTAAACACAGAAGCAGATTAAGATCAAATAGTAGAAGAAGCACTTACAAATGCACCAGTAGACAACTTGTAATCAGAGAGAAGTTTTCCAGTAAGAAAGTAATCGATGAATGGACCAAGGACAAGAAGGGACAGAGCTTGAATGGGAGCTGTCTTGCTGAGCAATTCAAAAGAGCCTATCGAGTATTTCTTTTGCAAGGAACCTATTGACTGTTGCTCAAACAACAAGAACGTCAGACCAACAATTGCTTTGAGGTTCTTATGCCTAAACTCAGATTCATGGTATAGTTTTAAAGGAGAAAATTTGGGTAATACTCACAATTTGTTGTAGGGATGTACATAGGATAGCCACACAAGCACACAGAAAGCCTTTAGCATTGACTTTCACGTCGGTCACAGTACATATACCCACGCCTACAACCACTACTGCCACCGCAATCTTGACTTCCCGTGAAAAATGCTTTGCATGAAGAATCCATTCCATCACACAAACCACTGGAATCATGCTCAACTTCGATATCTACACCATTATAACAATGAAGAAGATTGAATCAGATAACAATTATGCAAAAGGGAAAATTGTTAGGCTAATAAAATGATATTTACCTGATAAAATCCGACAGAGTTAAGCATGAGGCTCAAGTTCATCCCGGTGATTGAAGCATTGGCAACAAGTGAGAACCAAACAAGTTCCCACAGAGGAACATGCTTAGATGCAGAGTAACCAGTGGCATTTGACACCAGACCGACCAAAGCGGTAACAGAGAAATGGAATCCGGTCAAAGTTGTAGCTGCAGAGAAAAACAGACAATGATCAATTGCCGGAAACCAATCCACCAATGAATTCAACTATTTCTGTGTCACATAACATAAGCATACTCTTGCAAACACCTTTAGTGAGATCTCCTTATGAATCTAGGCCACAATCAAAGCTGAATTATGTGAAATCGTAATTTCTATTGAAATGTAGCTAGATCTACAGGGAATGATGACAAGTCAAAAAAGGCCGGCCATAGCTGAAACAGCCATGAGTGGCGAATGATAGTCAATCGAACATGAAATATTATATTGTAATCTGACTTATTGGTCCCTTGTGAATCAAAATTGAGGCGAGAAAAAAAATCAATTAACAATCCAAAAATTGGTGAAAATGCAGTTCTTCCTCAGATTCATGGCATCTGCTAAAATTCGAAATTCTTAACACAATTCAGGAAAACAAAAGCAACCCATTATTCAACAAGAAAAACACTAAAAACCCATTGATCAAAAAGCAATTCCCACTCCAGATCTGTATTTAAATTGAAGATTAGGACAGAACCCAGAAGAAAAATTAGATAAAATTGGTAAATTAACAGAGTTAAAGAAGGAGATGAACTGACCGAAGCCGAAAGCAAAGCCGTTAGGGGACATGAGCTGCTTGTTGGCCATGATAATGCCCACAGAGCTCACAATATTCATTCCCCAAGCTCCCACATCGGACACAGGAGACTTCTTTTCCTTCTCCATTTCTGCAATTCCGAGCTCGAATCCAAAAAAACCCCAAAAATTCCAAATCCTCTCCTCCCCAACTTCGGATCTTGGATTTTGAATTTTGATGATCGGAAGAGAGGCGGACAACAAAAGCAGACAGAGTTGCAGGCTGCAGAAGTCGGTCACCACCTCTCTCAAGAGACAAAGCTAAAGAGCTATGTGGGTAATATAAACATAGAAATATAAAAACAATGTAAAAAACAAAGGGGAAGGCTTTGGGATATATTGGCTGGCTAATTTAATTTTTTAATTTTTTTATTTTTTTTTAATTTTTAATTTTTGGTTTTGCTGTCTCTCTCAGCAAACGAGCATGTTACCCTCATATGGCCTCACCTTCATTACCATTTTAACAAATATCATAATATTTATTGGGGACTCATAAATCAATTTTAAGTAAGTGGGGTTTGATGGGATTTGCCCTAATTTCGTTTTCCTAACACGGTTCCACCTTTGGTAACTTTTTTCCTAGTTATTAGGGAAATTTCTTGATTCACTCCTTCAAATAGTACCAACTTTTAAATTTTGAATGCATAAGCAATAGACTCAATTAGCCCTTCTACCCGAAAGAAGCTATAGCCTATAGGTGAGCTAGCAAGTAAGCTCCCTGACTCCTAAAGGCAGCTCATTTCTCTTTTGGTTCAATGTTTAGAGGGAAAGCATAAATTCTCCGTTTGGTTCATCTAATGGAATTGAAAGGAAAACGAATTATGTGTTGTAGGCCTATTTATTTGAAGAATGATAGAAAGGGGGAAAGGTGCAGCAAGAGAGAGAGAGGAGAAATTGGTGAATTCTAAAGCGGTGTGTATTATTTATTTATAGTATTAATGAAGGGAGAATCCTTACCATTTAGGTAATACAATTAAAATATGACTATATTTAGAATCCTTATATTATTTACACAATTACAATTCTAACTAAATTAGGACCGCAACGTTATGTGTTTTCACAAGGTAAGTGCAATTTTTTTTTCTTGCACTGTTTAATAAATTGGGAAAGTAACTAAGAAATATAAGGTTAAAATCGGTATTTTACAATTTTTTTTAGTAATAAAGTTGATGGAAAACATTGAAAATGAAGAGCTAATACGGACATAAAAATTCAGTTTCAAAAGTTAATGGGTTAATGTTATCTTACAATTTTTCAATGAATGTTGGGCAAAGCAGCCGAAGTGATTGAAATCAATAATATATATTTTCCAATATGCATAAATAAAACCGTAATAACTTTGATAAAAAGTAAAGCAGAAGATAACAAACATTAATAAACCGTATTCAAATTACAGTTTTGTGCTCTTTTATTGTCGTTTATTGACTATTAAGTTCTACCTTCGATTAAAAGTTTGTAACGGATCTACTTATGCATATATTCCTATTTTATATATCTTATGTTTTTGTTTTTTTTTTTGTTTTGTTTTGGTTTGAATATAAAATCTAAGCAAACGTGAAGTGTTAAAAGCGATTATAGTATAAACAGCGGAGACACTCCAGATTTGACCTTTATGTGTACAAGTTTTGCAAGCTGATCACGCGTTTAGTGAATTGGATTCAAATGCAAAATGTACCAACATATGGTGTCAAAAATTAAAAATTAAAAAGAAAACCCCACATGTGAGGAGTGAGAAATTTGGAAGCAACCCATGAAACCTCCATATCCCCGAAAGTCTTCGGTTTTGATTTTTCTTTTACTTTGACCCGGCAGTTTTTTATTTTTTTTGTGACCCAATAAATATAAGAAATTAACTTTGCTCCTCAATAAATGCGGAAGGAACTCTTCTCAATTTACTATGTAGCAGATTCATAGAACTTATGATTGAAATTGTTCATATTATAAATCATTATGTAAATTTTATCTTTGCAAAGAATAATAAAATATGAGATCGTTTGTTCAACAAATTATGTATAAACAGATGGACAAATTCAATAAATGAATTATGAACCGTCTATTTATTTCTTACAACTGATTAATTAAATAACCTTCGTTTTAATTATTTTTTAATAAGTATAATCTTTAAAGTAATTTACAACATGAACAATTTTAATTATAAACACGAAATTATATGAATTAATCACTACCTGAATTGAAAAGAGCCTCTTCAAATTGGAGGACCCAAGCCTTTTTTTCTAAAAATAAATATTTGGCTGGTTTTTTTAGTAAGACTTTTTATGTTGGTACACTGCCGGTGCTGGGGCCTGAAGAATGCGAAGTGGAATATTCGGCAGAGTTGCATTATTCTCAGCGCCAGAAAAGTCTTAAGTTTTAGTGTTTCTAGAACCCAACTATGTTTGACTTGGCGTTATTTTGGTCTTCTGTTTTAGTAGAGTGGTATTGGTATAAAAATGTTATTCTTATCACAAATTTATATTATTTTATTTGTATCATCTTTTTAATATAGATAAGATTCACATGCGTTGGTGAATCTTAATTTTATTTTAAAGATCATAAAAATGATGATAAAAATATTGTATAAATGTAACATTACTCGGTAGCGTTTAATGTGCTAAATAGTTAATTGTTAGTTGTTGGATATAATTATTTTATGCCACTTTAGTAAAATGTTATATGCTACTGTTCTGTTTCTTTTTTCTTTTGATCAATGTTCTATTTCTTTTATATATAACAAAATGATATTCTTTTTTTAAGAATACGTTTACTTATAAGGAATGAGTATTAATCTTATTTATTCATGTGTCTGTAAATAACAAAGGAAATGAAAAGGCAGATGGGTCCAACCTGAAAAAAATGAATTTATCACATTAACATAGGGGGTTGTTTATCTCATACTCGTTCATTGTCATACATATTCCTTATGATCGCCATACTATGTAAGTAAACATGCCTAAGGGAGGAGAAACTCTACCCTAAGGGGAATGGGGATTTCGTTAGGTCATACAATGGATCAGTCACTAATAAGGTATCCAACTAACATAAATATAACACATCCTCGTCATCCATGTGAGTCTAACATGAGACATTTCACTTACAAGCGAAGATGAGTACCACTTAACATAGTTTTAGTTAGTTTATCGCTATATTTGATATCAAGAGATTAAAAAATTAAAAAAACATATTCATTGAATCTATCCATGATATTCAAATAAATACTCATTTTATAACATGAGTGAATTAATAACGTCATGTGCCAATATGACTAACTGTTACAAAATAACACTTATTTTCAACACTTTTAAAACTATAATAGAATATAAAATAAAAACCATTTTCAACTTCGCGATCGTAAGAACATGCGGGATATACGTAAGATAAAATTGTAGCAATGGTCCATCAATTGAAAATCCATGACTATTGATCCATTAACTCATCAAAACGTGCATGTATGGTCATTTTCGTTAACTCTGTTAGAGTTCCATCAAAATGACTATGTTGGAATGACCCTTGCCCCAATTGGGTTATAAGTTAAGAGACCATTTCTCCACTTGGGTTAAAGTTGATGGACTACTTGTCACATCCCGGCCCGGGCTCCCACCACATCCTGGGCTCGACTCCCCCATAGCACAATATTGTCCGCTTTGGGTCCCGACCACGCCCTCACGATTTTGTTTATGAGAACTCACATGACTAGAATTTCCCAGTGGGTCACTCATCCTTGGAATGCTCTGGCCCATTTCTTGCTTAACTTCAGAGTTCATACAGAACCCGAAGCCGGTGAGCTCCCAAAATGCCTCGTGCTAGGTAGAGATGAGAATATACATATAAAGCTTAGATGATCCACTCCCCTGGGCGATGTGGGATGTTACAATCCACCCCCTCAGGGGTCCGATGTCCTCGTCGGCACACTTCCGGCCAGGGATTGGCTCTGATACCAAATTGTCACATCTCGGCCCGGGCCCCCACCACATCCTGGGCTCGACTCTCTCGTAGCACGATATTGTCCACTTTGAGCCTCGACCACGCCCTCACAATTTTGTTTCGAGAACTCACGTGAGCAAAACTTCCAAGTGGGTCACCCATCCTAGGAATGCTCTGGCCCCTTTCTCACTTAACTTCGGAGTTCTTACAGAACCCGAAGCTGGTGAACTCCCAAAATGCCTCGTGCTAGGTAGAGATGAAAATATACATATAAGTCTTAGAGGATTCATTTCCTTGGGCGATGTGGGATGTTACAATCCACCCCCATCAGAGGCCCGACATCCTCGTCGGTACACTTCCGGCCAGGGATTGGCTTTGATACCAAATTGTCACATCCCGGCCCGAGCCCCCACCACATCCTGGGCTCAACTCCCCCGTAGCACGATATTGTTCGCTTTGGCCCCGACCACGCCCTCACGGTTTTGTTTCTAGAAACTCACGCGAGCGCCTTTAGAGTTCCTACAGAACCCGAAGTCGATGAGCTCCTAAAAGGTCCCGTGCTAGGTAGAGATGAGAATATACATATAAGGCTTAGAGGATCCACTCCCCTAGGCGATGTGGGATGTTACACTACTGCTACAATTTTTTAATTTGGTTTTTCATGTTTGCCCCTTGATTCAATCTCATGTGCATGACACATGACTCATTTTGACGAAAGTTTTAATGGAGTTGACGAAAAAGGCCATATATGCACGTTTTGATGAGTTAAGGGACCACTAGTCATGAATTTTTAGTTAATGGACTATTGCTCTAATTGGATTAAAGTTAAGGGACCATTACTACAATTTCCTCTATAAGTAACAGGCCAAGACATGTTTGTTACTAATACATGGGTACTGAATTATTTCAAATTCCTCACTTCCCCTTAGGATTTTAACATGTATGAAACCAAAAAGTATACGGTCCGACATTACATGTTATCCAAAATCAGAAAAAGAGTAAGGTTGATTAAGGTTGAGTTGTTGATCATATTTTCGTTCATTCTTTTTCTTCTTTTTTAACTTTTTTGATTTACGATTTTCTCTCATTCAAAGTAAGCAAAACATGTTATTTTTGTTATAAGTCACAAACGATTGTAATAATATAGATTTAACATTTACATGTAGAATGAATTATATGTTAATCTAATTCTGATTAAGAGAAATAATTTTAGTTTGTAAATGTGTTATCATTTAATGTTCCAGCCAAACAATTAAGAAAAAAACAAACTAGGTTATCTTGTTCCTCTGTCTTTCCTCCATCATTAACAAGCTTCTTAGACTGAAGCCAAAAATGGACTAAAAGAAAATTTCAGCAGCCTACCAAGAACACCAACCCGCATGCCA